AGTAGAATAGAATGGGAGTAATTTTCTCTTCTCATTCATTAGGTACAATATAGGTATATATATATATATATATAAAGATCTGTGGAGAAGATCCTGATTTCTAGGAACTAATTTACATTATTTAAGGGAAGTAAATTACAGCTATATACAGAAGATTAATATCTCTAAAAATATGAACCCATAATTATAGTAAACTGAAGATTCCCATATGTAGCTAGTTTGAATTCCTACACTCCCCCTCAAACTAGGCGGTATATACTCATTAAACCAAGTTTGGAACTTAGCTCAATGAAGTTCGGACGGAAGAGTGCCTTTGTGAGGATGTCTGCTGCTTGAAGCCGAGATGGAACATGTTTCAGTGATATAACATTGCTTTCTATCTTTTCGCTGATGAAGTGTCGGTCGATCTCAACATGCTTTGTCCTATCATGATGGACAGGGTTCTTGGCAATAGCTATTGCTGATTGGTTGTCACACATCATATTTATAGGACCAGAAATGCAGACTTTGAGTTCACCCAGTAGCCGTTTTAACCAGATTCCTTCACAAATACCCTGAGCTAAGGCTCGAAATTTTGCCTTAGCACTACTTCGTGCCACCACCTGTTGTTTTTTACTCCGCCATGTCACTAAATTTCCCCATACATAGGAGCAATACCCTAAAGTTGATTTTCGATCAATGGGGGATCCAGCCCAATCCGCATCTGTGTAGACCTCTAAGGAGCGATTAAGAGTCTTTTTGAACATTAGCCCCTTTCCAGGATCCCGTTTAAGATATCTAAGAATACGGTAAACTGCCTCCATGTGTGTTTCTGAAGGATTGCTTAGAAATTGACTAATAAGGCTCACTGCAAAACTTATATCCGGACGCGTGTGAGTCAAATAGATCAACTTCCCTACTAAGCGTTGATATTGTCCTTTATCCACAAGCATTTCTTCAGCTTTAGACTTTAACTTAGTGTTAGGGTTCATAGGAGTGTCCACTGGCCTACACCCACTCATACCTGTTTCCTTCAAGAGATCCAAGACATACTTTCGCTGGGAAACTGAAATTCCCTTACTTGATCTAGCCACTTCCATTCCCAAAAAATATCTTAGATGTCCCAAGTCTTTGATTTCAAACTCTTTGGATAAGAGAAGCTTAAGTCTCCTCATTTCCTCTTCATAGTTTCCCGTGAGAACTATATCATCAACATACACTATTAACATAGTAATCTTACCGTTTGTGAAGTGTTTGATGAAAAGAGTATGATCAGCTTGAGACTGCAAGTATCCATCTTGTTTTAGCACCCTTGTAAATTTGTCAAACCATGCACGGAGTGATTGTTTAAGTCCGTACAGTGATTTTCGAAGCCGACAGACTTTGCCTCGTGTACAATTAGTTTCAAACCCAGGAGGCATATCCATATATACTTCTTCGACTAAGTCCCCATTCAAAAATGCATTTTTCACATCAAGTTGAAATAAAGGCCAATCTTGGTTCACAGCAATAGATAACAAAACCCGTACTGTATTGAGTTTGGCTACAGGAGCAAATGTTTCCTGGTAGTCAATTCCATATGATTGAGTGTAGCCCTTGGCTACCAAGCGGGCTTTGAACCGTTCAACACTACCATCAGCCTTTTGTTTTACTGAGAAAATCCACTTGCACCCAACTGTTTGCTTTCCAGGTGGTAGAGTTGTTAGAGTCCATGTGCCGTTCTTTTCAAGGGCATGAAATTCTTCCACAGTAGCAGCTCTCCATTCTGGGACTTTTAATGCGTCATGAACTGTTCTTGGAATCTGGATTTTGTCTAGAGTAGTCACAAATGCTCTGAATTTCTGAGAAAGTTTGGAGTAGGTCATATAGTTATGGATATATGAGCGAATTCCCTTTCTCTGAAATTGCTGTGTACATGAGCGAATTGCTGTGTGCATGAGCGAATTCCGTTTCTCTGAGCAATAGGTAGATCCAAGTCTGGATCATATTTTGCAACCTCTTCAACACTGTATTCTGTGTTAGGTTTAGTCTTACCTTGCGCTATTTCAAGAATTGCTGAGTTCGGATTGGACTCCTGGTTTTGCTGATTTTGAACAGGCTGTTGAGGTTGTTTTCTCCTACTATAGACTTTTATTGCCTCATCAGGAAGGTAGAGATGTTTTGGGTACATTTCTGACTTATCGGGAGGTGAATTGGGTGACTTAAATGTGTTTGGAGAGCCAGCTACTGTTTGTGGGCTTGAAGGTGATGGAGACTCCGGGTTAGGTGAGCGAAGAATTGAATTGAGTGGAGTTGGACTTGGTACTGGATCAATGAGAGTAGTCCAATCCCAATTTTGTGATTCATGTGTGTCTATCTCCCCCTGAATTACAGAATTGGAAAAAAATGGTTTATCTTCAAAGAATGTGATATTCATGGTGTGATAAACCCTTTTGGTGAGAGGAGAAAAACATTTATATCCTTTTTTGTTCGGTGAGTATCCAATGAAGATGCATTTGAGTGCCCGTTCATCAAGTTTCCCTCGGCTATGATGGTGGATATGAATAAAGGTAGTGCATCCAAAAATTTTAAGGGGAATTTGGGAAAGTAGGTGTGAGTTTGGATAGAGATCAAGGAGGGATTGCACTGGAGTTTTAAATTTTAACACACGTGAGGGCATTCTATTAATGAGATAGGTTGCGGTAAGAATAGCCTCGCCCCAGAATTTCTTAGGTACATTAGACTGGAACAATAATGAACGAGCAACTTCAAGTACATGACGATTTTTGCGTTCTACCACACCATTTTGTTGAGGTGTGTCCACACATGAGCTTTGATGGACGATTCCATAAGATTGGAGATACGGACTGAGAATGGAGTTGAAGAAATCTCGGGCATTATCAGTTTTAAGGACTTGAATTTTGGCTTGAAATTGAGTTTGAATCATGGCATGAAAAGTTTTAAAGATTTGGCTGGTTTCAGATTTATCTTTCATGAGGAAGGTCCAGCTTAATCGGGTATGATCATCAACCAACAATAGAAACCACCTTGCTTCAGAAATATTAGGGATTTTGGTTGGTCCCCAGATATCACCATGAATAAGAGAAAAATGGGGAGTTGGTTTGTATGGACGTGGGATATATGTACTTCGAGTGTGCTTTGATAATTGGCAGACATCGCATTGAAATAACTTTGCATCTTTATTAATGAATAATGAAGGAAACAAACGACTCAAATATAAGAAATTTGGATGACCTAAACGGTAGTGCCACAACATGATTGCACTTGTTTTATTGGACTGTCCTATTGACTCATGACCATGAACTGACCATCACTGGGGTCTGACACTAGTCTTATTATGACTCTGAGCTGGGATACAAGAAGAGTCTACTTTGAGGAAATACAAGCCTGCACAAAGTTCAGCATTGCCAATCGTCTTCTCCGAACCCAAGTCCTGAAAAACACAAGATTTGCCAAAAAATTTAGTCTCGCAGTGAAGATCACGGTTTATTTTGCTTACAGAGATTAGATTACAATTAAGATCAGGAACAAATAACACTGAGTGCAAGATAAGATTGCGTGAGAGATATATGGTTCCTATTCCAACAACTCTTGAGCGTGAACCATTGGCAATACGCACTGTTTGATAGTCCTGACATGGAGTATAAGTTGAGAACAGTGATCTATCACCTGTCATGTGGTCTGATGCGCCTGAATCCACTATCCAAGATGTTGAGGGTGACTGATTCACATGAAGTGCCTGGTTTCCATTGTTGTGCACAGATCTGTCCCCTATCCCAATTTTTAATGGACTGGCTGACATATTTCCCTTGCTAATCAGGTGCTAAAGCAGCTCCAACTGGTCCTTCGTGAAAGGGTTTTGGTTTTGTGATTTAGTTGCTTCTGTAGAGACTGCATTTACCCGACTCTCACGATAGCCAGCAGCCCTGTTTAGCTTCCAATCTGGTGGCTTTCCATGTAACTTCCAGCAGGTTACTTTTTCGTAGCCTGGCATCTTACAGTGGTCGCACCAAGGACGTCCCCTTCGTGGTCGATTTTCACCGGGAGTCTGGAACATCCCGCGAGCGGCACAAGCAGCAGGTTCGACCATGGACACGTGGTCTTTGGCTGCAGCAAGGGCTGAGCCATCAGTGGATGCAGGTGCATTAGAATGTCCCATCATGACTCGTTTTATGCTCTCCTCTCGGCGTACCTCGAAAAAGACTTCTCGAAGACTTGGTAGGGGCTTGGCTCCAAGTTTCCGACCTCGCACCTCATCAAGGGACTTATCAAGACCCATCAGAAACTTGAAGATGCGTTTGGTCTCTACTATTTTCTTGAAATAGGTGCTGTCATCAGGACATTTCCATTCGTGAGATTCAAAGAGGTCCAACTGTTGCCAGTGTCGCGTCAGAGTGGTGAAGTAGGTGGTGACTGTGTTTTCTCTTTGCCTTAGATCATGTAGGATACTCTCTACATGGAAGAGTTCAGCAATATTCTCACTACTAGAGAAGGTGTCACGGGCTGCATCCCATATTTCCTTGGTTGTAGTGTAGAGAAGGAAGTTCTCACCTATCTCGGTAGTCATTGAGCCAATTAACCAGGACATGACCAGGTTGTTTTCTGCCCTCCAAACTCTGAATCTGGGATCACTTGAACTTGGTTCGGCAGTCGCCCCTGTAAGATAATCATCCCGGCTTCGTCCACTGATAAACATCATTATGGATTGCGACCATTGGAGATAGTTGTGGCCATTGAGCTTGTGGTTGATTATAGAGGTAATATTGTTTTCGGGAGTGGTCTGAGTGACTTGAGAATTGATAGGAGTATTGGGAGATGATGATGAGTCCTTGGAAGTTTGTTCAGATTCGGCCATGGTGGATGAGATTATCACAGAGGTGACAGAGAAATATGAATTGAGAATAGGTTAGGGCCGGCGGCCAGACACATGAAAAATTTAGGTTTTAGGAGCTTGGCTCTGATACC